CGGAAGACCAACCAGAATACAATTTAGTTGCATTATTTGAGTTCAGCATTGTTCTCCGCTGTTAAGCCCTTTACTTTTTTTGAAACACGTATGGAGAAGTTAATTTGAGTTTTCAATTTCAACTGAGAAGGGTACCTACAAGTAACAGTATCATCCTATGAAATTTAACTACTGCTAAACTTTAATTTATATGATCTTATTTTTATATTAATCTCAGTTGTGACATTTTTCCATAAATGAAATATCAAAATCTTACTTATTATAAAACGCTGGTTGTGTGTGTGTCTAACGTTTATATGTTGGATTGAATTTCCTACATTTTTTAGCAGATTTCAACAAAACTTCACAGGACTACATAAAATTACCTTGTGGTGGTTCTAACGGGGCCAAAAATGGGAAAAATACAGTTTTTTAATAAAATCAATTTGAAAACACGATTAAGACACATCGTGAGAATGAAAGGGGGAGAACTCACCCACGAAAATGTAAACTAATGAGCATAGCATGATGAAAAAGACGCCGAACTTGACGAAAACAATTTTATCGTCTAATGTTCATATTATTAAAGAGGAAAGATCAAAGTATTTTGGGGGTATTTTTTTTACATTTTTAATCCTTCCTAGCACGTCTGAAATTTTCATTAAAAATATTGTTTTTTTTGGAAGAAAAAAAAAAAAAAAAAAAAAAAAATTTTGGGGCAGATAATCATTTTCAATCATTTTTTCGATTTGATAAAAAAAGATTAAAATCTTATTTTGATATTCTTTTTAAAAGTCAATTATCATTTTTTTCAAAACTGATTTTAATAAAAACAGATATACTGTTTATTTAAAATATTTTGAACCAAGCTAAACTTTTAAAAAATGCCGAAAAAATGTAATTTGAAAAATAAAACAAAGCAGGTCATAACCTTTTGAGTCGCTTTGACGAAAGACACATTCATGACGTTTAGATAACTTACGGGAGGAGAATTCTTTCTACGGATGGAAGGAAGTGAAATTATTTAAGTGAACAAATTATTTACCTTGTTACTTTTAAGGAAAACTTTCAGCGCTCTAATTTTTTATTTATATATTTTTTTTTTTTTTGTACTTAGCTTTCATTTTTACATTTACGATGCTTTATGGAAAATATAAAGAAATTAAAAAATAAGACTGTTAATAGAGAGATTAAATTTCATAAGAAAAAGGTATCTAATTAATTTAGGTACCTTTCTTATGAAATTTTATCAGAAGTGTACCTAAAATACTATAATTTTATGTACATTTATTACATTTTACTGTGTTATTTGTATTTCCATTCATTTTATTATTAATTTTGATATTTCATTTATGGAAAAATGTCACAACTGAGATTAATATAAAAATAAGATCATATAAATTAAAGTTTAGCAGTAGTTAAATTTCATAGGATGATACTGTTACTTGTAGGGTACCCTTCTCAGTTGAAATTGAAAACTCAAATTAACTTCTCCATACGTGTTTCAAAGAAAAGTAAAGGGCTTAACAGCGGAGAACAATGCTGAACTCAAATAATGCAACTAAATTGTATTCTGGTTGGTCTTCCGTACTTGATAATTACTGTCCGACTATAAACACAAAAATTACATTTCTTAATTACCATGGCTAATCTGATTGGTCCAAATTATACAATTTTCAAAGCGCTAGACAATGACAATCTCACACGGACATTTTGAAAGGTTGATGTTGCTTTTAACTAATGTTAAAAGATTTTTAAAATTCAATTTAACATTTTTTAAAAAATCTTTTTTAAAATTAAAGAAATAATTGTATTAAAAACTCAATTTTCATTGAAAAAATTTTTTGCTTTCAGAAAATATTGTCCATATTCATAAAAACAAATAAAAGCATTTGAAACTAAATAATATATTTGTTTTATTGAGTTTTTATGTTACAATTCACAGCTGATTTTCAGGTACGTTGGCCAACCCCAAAAAAAAAAAAAAAAAAAAACATGATTTGCATTCTTCAAAGCCTTGTGCTTTTTTAACTATTGTAATCACTAAAACCGATGGTCTCGAATTTCTAGAGTTTTTCATAAAATTAGTTATGGGGTGTTAATAAATATAAAAAAATATTTCTGCCATGACTTTAATAAAAAAAAAAAAAAAAAATATTTATAATAATTTCGATCATCTGTGAATAGTTTCTGAAAGTTTCATTAACATCTGACAATTATTTTTATTTTTGCAAGATTTTCCAAATTAATGTGTGTAAATACAAAAATGCGCAAAAAATTATCTATGTTATTTACTACCCCTTGTTGCGACAAAGAGAAACAAGGTTTTTTAAATCAAAATTTAGAATATTCTAAAAGATGGAAAAATTTTTAAAAATAATTAAAAAAAATTTAGTCTATCCTCTTCATAAAAAATAAGCATTTTGACGATAAAATTTTGTTTTCATAAACTTTGGCGTCTTTTTTTCATCAGACTATGCTCTATGTTTTAGCGATTCCGTGGAGTGACTTAGGTTAAAAAACCCAGGTTGTTTATGTGTGTGTGTGTGTGTGTGTGTGTTTCCTTTATATATGGGATCAGATTTCTTACATTTTCAGCCGATAAAACAAACATCCACTTTTTTTTTTTTCAGCAGGTATTTCTTATTGTCTTGCACACTTTTTTTTTTTTATTTACATTCAGAATGCTTTAAAATTCCATTTACAAGACAATTGTTTATAATAAAATTCTATTCACCAATCGATAGACTCATAACAATTGTAAACAATGTTTTTGTTTGAATTTGGGTTTGAACAATTCGTAAAAAAAAAAATTTCTGATGGTCGATACTTGATCTATCTCTTACTGTTACATCCCCGGGCAACGCCGGGCTCTACTGCTAGTAAAATATAAAAATAAAAATGTGCAAATAGAAAAGAATTCAAATTAAAACAAAGCATTTGCTTTCCCTTAAAATCCTTCTCTTTTTCTATCTTTTACTCTTTCTCTCTCAAATAAAAAGAGAAAAGAAAAAACTAACCTCAGCTGGAAAACACTGAATATTGATGGTCCAGTGACTAAATACACCCCCCTTCGAGGAAAAAAAAAAAAAAAAAAAATTTGTCTCTGCTACATGTTATGAAGTTAACTTCAAATTGCAAAATTTGATATTTAATCAATTAACTAATGCTAATCACATATATGGAAGAGTAGTGGTAAAATCAATGTTCAGTGATAAAATAAAAACTATGTAATTTTATCATTGTACAAATAACATGAGGCCAAATCTGTCATACATAAAATTATTGTTCATTCAACTCCAGATTTTGTCAATATCGATGAAAGGGTGTGTGTTTTTAGGGGTTTTCTCTTAATATGGATTCTTATGAATTTTCTTTCACTCATTCTACCTATTGATTCTCGATAAAGATACAATAGCTTTTCAGGAGAATTACTAGTTTTCTCCAAGTTAACATGAAAATTCTTTTAACATTTCAGTGCATTCATCTTCCAGAAATTTATTGATAACATGGTCAATCACATAATTCAATATGACTGGCAACAAAACCAAAAATTATGCAATGGTAAAAAAAAAAAAAAAAATCAAACAAAATCTATCCTCATCTTCTTCAGCCCTAAGTGTTATCATTGGAAAAATCTTAATGTCTGCAAGAAATACATATTTGTTCATATGGAATAACAACAATTCAAACATTTTTTCCAAGGGGTTTATGCTATGGTAGATTCTTTAGGGATTGAACTCACAATTACTATATCACCAAATTCACAAACCAGCACTTTAATTAAGGACATGTTTCTGTGGTAAAAGGGGAACCTTAAACTTGACCTGCCTGCTGATTAGTGTTGCTGCTGCTGCCTATCATGTTTGACTGCTGTTGCTGAAGACTTGCTGTCTTGTCTTTCTTTATTAGAGGCTCTTGTATTTTATTTATTTCTATGCTAAGTATTTGTTGATTCTTTGAGAAGTACTAAAAATGAGAACTAGATGAGATCCTTAGACATGGGCAGTGGTATGAGAACAGTCTACCTCCCATTAGATTAAATAAAGGGTTCAAGTTGGAATTCACTGAAGGTTACCCAGATCACTATACACCTGATGAAGGCTGGAGGGCATAATGGACGAAACATTGTGATAACAAAACTGAAGAGAATTATCCAAATGTAAAGAGTCTAAATTTGCATCATACATGATCTTATGGGTTAGCATGCCTAGACTCGTCCTGGGTATGACAAACTACATCTAGCAACAAGGCCTCTAATCAGGAGATTGTAGGTTTTTAGGAGCATGGAACCACCTCATTGCTGTTCCCAGGTCCACCCTGATCTGGGGTGGTAGCACCTGTTAGGGTCCCAGCTATGGGAAAATAGTGAACCCAGAACAAAAATTAACAGTACATTTTTATAATAAAATGACCACTAATACATTTTTATAGCAAAATATCAATGCAACACTAAAAAATATAATACATTTTTATAATAAAATTACAAAATATATTTTATGATCTACAAAACAATTTTATGCTTTCAAGGTAAAAGGTATGTACAAAATATCTGTATCTGAAAGCATAAAATTACATACAAAATATTTAGATTTCAGTATTAAATAACCCATAGAGTTTGATATGCTGTTAAACAAAATCAACCAACCAACCAACAGGTTTTGATGGTTTTAAAGGATACTTAGAAGGCCCATGGCTTAAATTTTTGAATGTTAAAAATAGTTCAATTATTAATATAGAAACTGATAAAAATTATCAATTACCAGTAATAATTTTGTTTTTAAGAAAAAAATTAAATGTAAAAAATATGACATTTTGTTCTGTTTAACATATTAATGCACAACCCATCCCAAAAATGGGTTATAAGTAGAAACTTTTGATTAATACTGTTTGCTTTATTTTAATAATACCAGTTATTATAGTGACTTAATGGGTTGACATATTAAAAAGATTCAATAAGAAAAAAATACTTTTGTTTATTCTTATAGAAAACATGAGTAATCAACAGAAAAGAAACTTACTGGGATTAAAATCTAGTGGTAATTCCGGTTTTAACGATGGTAAATCCTGAAATAAGAAAAAAAAAAAAAAAAAAAAAAAAAAAAAAAATGAAACAAGCATTAAGCTTAAATAGTAAAAGAAATTACAAAAGGAAAGTCAACAAGTCCATAGCCGAAGATGTAGCTATTAGAATTTTGATCTGAAATTCAGAGTTTATAATGTTCAATTTATGTAATTAATATGCTCCACTGAATTAAGTTCATTGAGAGGGAAGGAGATTATTTACATTTGGATGATTGTCTTCATTGTTGTTATACAACAACAAAGAGGACAATTGTCCACAAGAAAATAATGATAGTTCCTCCTCCTAGAAAATAAGGTAAAAAGCAAAACTGAAGGGGATTATAAAAAATAAATATTTATTGTATAAAATAAGTGTTAGCTTCTGGTTTTTGTTAAGCTATGCACTTATTGATGCACTACTTTCATAAAAATAATTAATCTAAACATCTTCAAGTATTAAATACAACTTGCATAGAAATAAATGAAGAATTGTTAATTGAAACTTGACTATTTGTCAGTGTGATGAAGTGATGGGGGAGGCGTTTTTGATGGTATCACTCCATTTATACCTTCTGTGTTTGCATTGTGTTATAAGATCTGCAGAAAGCAATGTCAACATTGTCGTCATGAACACAAATGTGATGAGGTCACGCAAAGTGATGGAGAAATTCGGGATTGAAAACTCATCTGACTTGTCCAGTCTTGTCACATGCAATAGTCACTGGTGGTCTTGGCACTGTTTGAAATACAACTAGAGAGGCACTTAACAATTTTAAAGGAGTTTGTTGCAATACAATTACAAATAATATATATAAACATATACACACACACACACACACACAAACAACAAAAAATGAAAATAGATAAAAATCATGCAAAATTGAAAATGAGCGGTTAGGAATCACCCCACCCACCAGCAGCAAGACACCTTTGCTGAAGAAGATTTTGGCAATTCTCTCTCTCTCTTTTCAATTCTTCATTCAACATCATTTTATGGGGAAGAGAGCCTTATTCAAGTTTATTAGATTGATCAATGATTATACAATGTTTTTCTATCAACCAATCAAATGCTGCCTAGTGAATTACTTGCAGAAAATTAAGATAAATTAATAATGATAATCTAAGAAATCTAAAGTAATTTAGTAATGTAATGTGCTGTTTTTTTTTTGGGGGGGGGTGTTGCAAAAATATAGTTTATATATGTGTTTCATTGAATAATATAAAAAGGTAAATGGCACAGCCACTCAAATCCAAGGATGCCAGTTTACTAGTGTGGCTAGCTAAACCCCATTGCAGATGCCTGCTTAAGCACAGGTGTTGACTTGAAACTTGCTTTCTTTTCAGATTACTAATGCTGTCCAGGTTTGGCTTTTAACAAAGAAAGATCATCCTGAAATGCTACTGGAAGTACGAAAATGCAGTTAAAGTTCAAAGGCTGCATATTGAAGAGAGTTTGACTCGTATCCATCCATGTGGCTTACAATCTCATGAGATAAAGATGGTTTTGAAACTGATAGTAGCTGTACATGTGCACAAGAACCATTTCTGAAGACTACTGATATCAACAAGCTCTATGAAGCAAGAATAGATGATGGAACATCTTCACAGAAGTCTAAGGATCCTATCAAAATGTTGATTGCTGTTTGTGACTGCATCATGTCAGCAATATCCAAATCATAATGGACATCAATTTGTAAACATGCAATAATAAAATCTTAAGAGCATGCATTTATAATAAATACTGTCTTCATATGCATTATCAGAATTAGATTTACTTGATTCTAGTTGCTTGAATTATTTCTTGTGTAAGTTTCAAAATGAGTATACATTTTTTTGAGACACTGTATTTGTAAATGTGGCAGTTATGAAGTTTGTTGTATTGTAGCTTAAGCACTGTTTTAGAGTTCTTTAATTTCTATAATTCTATTCCTAGTTTGCATATAACTGGGATTTGATCGATGCAATAGTTGGTGTTTTGGTATGTTTTAGAGTGTAATGTACTACAGGAATTTGGTATCACAGCCTAGAGAGAGAGGAGCATGTAGGCTTATTAACATTGCATTCTATATTAGACAGCCAAGTCATAATGTAGAGAAGGGACAAAAGTAGAGGCTGATTTTAAATGTTTCTTAATCCAATGAGAGCAGCGAGGCATTTTAGTTTCAGTTAGCTACTCCAGTGTTGTTGGCCCAAAAAATTCAATGAAAATTTTCCATACATTTGGAATATCATTTACCTTATTTAATTGAAATATGGATACAATTTATTTATTTTATTTTGAATTTGTCAGATAGACTGGAAGTTTCCATCTCAAGAGTCAGGAGTCAAATGACCAAAATCAGTTATTTATGCATAGGCTCCGAGTGACACTTCCAGTAGTGTTGGAAACATTAAAAATATAATATAAATTATTAATCGACCACTGACATTTCCCATAGCATTTTGAAAGTACATTTT